GGTTTGCTGACGCAGAGCCGGGCTGGTGCAGGGCACTGCATCACCACAGCGCCTGGTTTTTGGGTGGATGGCGTCTTTCAGACACGCTCTCTGCAAAGCAGGGGGGCCATGGCAAAGAAGAGCCAGCAGCACCCCCCCCCGTGCCCATCCCACGTCCCTGTCCCCAGTGCACAGACCCAAACTTTGGCACTCTCAGGTGGTATTTGTCTTGGCAGAACTACTGGAATGGACCACACCTGGGAGGCCAGTAATGGAGCACTTCCACCTTCCTATCTGATTGTTCTTTAGGAGTCGAGGTGTTTGCATAAAAATCCCCTCTTGCTTTTTTAAATGCTCCTCAGAGGCTCAGTCCCTGAAATACCGTCATTCCCGTTGCTGTGCACGCTTGTGCTCTCGGCGGCAGGTTGTATCTGCAGGGCTCAAACCAGAGCAGGTACACAAGTGATGCTTCTAGGTACAAGCCCTAATTTTTTAATTACGCGCGAGATCTGGAAAGTGTAACGAGGAAGCAGAACTGATGTTTAAAGGAGCAGCACCAACATGAAACTGATGGATTGACGTTGACCTGGCCCAGATTTCAGGTGCCCTCTCTGCTTGATGACACTTTAATCTCATTTGTTTCTCATCCCCGCTACTGCGCTGCAAAATATCCGCAGGAAAGAGCCGTGCACGAAGCTGCAGCCGCTGCACTTGCTCCTTCTCCCTCTTACACACCTGTGCGTGGTTTCTGTCTCCTGGCGAGGCTCCGGATGAGCAGACCAGCTGCAGGGTCCCAAGTCTGGACCGGTTCTGGGCTGGGAGCATTCGATTTTGGGCGCTGGGAGCATGTGTGTGGTGCCAGTGTCCCCTAGGGACTGGAGATGGCATAGTCGGTGCTCTTGGATGGCAGTCAGTGGCTCATCTTGTGCGAACAAAAAAATGCTGCTTTCTTCCAGCCATCTCCAGCATTTTGGGAGCTGCAGGTCTGGGGTGGGTGTGGGAGCTGTGTGTGACCCCGCTGCATCGGTTTCGTTGCAGTTACTTGAAACCAGATGAGGATAAGAAATCAAAGCATAAGACAGCGGTGAAGAAGAAGACGCTGAACCCCGAGTTCAATGAGGTGAGTTTTCAGAAGTTGTGGTTCTCTCCTACGGGTTTTTCTCAGTCCTTGGACTTAAAAGGAAAAAAAAAAAAACAAACCCCAACCTGCATCAGCAGGTGAGGGATCAAGGCTGAGTTCCCGTGCGTGGCAAAGGGCCACAGCCCGAGGAGGAGGATGGACAGCCCCAGCCCCTGTGCTGAGCCCAGCACGCGTTTGTCCTGACTCTGTCTCCGCTCCCCAACAGGAGTTCTGCTATGAGATAAAGCACGGCGACCTGGCGAAAAAGACCTTGGAAGTCACAGTGTGGGACTACGACATCGGGAAGTCAAACGATTTCATAGGTGAGTGGGGCACTCCAGAGGGTCTCCTTTGTCTCTTTTTCCTTTTGTCTTCCCCTTCTGTGCCTCTTCTTTTTACATCTGCTGCTCTTCTGCATTTCTCCAGCCTCCCGGCTTGTTCTCTACCCCCGTGTTCATTCTTGCTGGGTTTCTGTTCTGCTTTTATCCCTCTCCTGCACCTGAGCCGCCTTTCCCACCACCGGCCCCACTTCAGGCATCCCCCACGCAAGGAGCACCCCAGCAGGGAGAAGATGCGTCTCCCTCTCCCCATCTGTTTTCAGATCTTTCCTTCTGAATAAAAACCAGGTTTAACAGGCAGGTTTCATTTATCTCTGTGGGATGTCTGGGCTTGTTGTGATTTTGTTACTGGTCACTGTGATTTATTGCCAGCAAGCGCCCAGCAGCTCTGACAGCCGCTGCCCTTGGCATAAGAGCAAGCTGCCCGGGGCAGGTCCCAGGGAAGCCGGGCTGTGATTGCTGGTGTGTGATCAGGTCAGGGCATCGGATACCATGAGAGTCGCTGCCTGACCTGCCTCCATCCAGCATCCCCCGGCATCCCTCGGCATCCCTCAGCATCCCTGGCATCCCTCGCAGGGCTGATGGTCGCCCCCACGTCTCCCTCTCTCTGTCTCTCTCGCCAGGTGGAGTCGTGTTGGGAATCAACGCCAAAGGCGAGCGGCTGAAGCACTGGTTCGACTGCCTGAAAAACAAGGACAAGAAAATCGAGCGCTGGCACACGCTAACGAACGAGCTGCCGGGGGCCG